TCTTCAGCGTTTATGTGGGGAAGGTGGTCACACAATGATGATTTTTGTTCTTTGGTGTCTGCTGCTTGTTCCCTTCAACACTTCATGTTCGCACAGGCTTGTGTGCTTCTCTGTGGACTTTGTTGTTTCCAAGCTAGATGACCGCTTGTTTGCCTACACGCCTTTAAGACCCCAGACGCTATATCTTTTGATAGCCGGGCACCATCAGCTTTCTTCACCACGTTTTCTATGCACACATCTGTCTTCGTGATCATGTCAGAGCAATTGAGATCTTAAAAGCTTGTGAGCAGGTATCTAAGGTGCATTGCTCTCTCCCTATGTGGAGAAAAAGAGTGATGAAAAATGAAAGACTTATGGAAACAATGACTCCAATGGACTAGTGGCCCCCCCAAGCATCAGTCTCCATAACCCTGAGACTAAAGGAGCTAGCTGGTACATGGCCACCATCTCCAACTGCTTTAAAAATGATTATAGAAGGTCCTGGACAGACGAGGAGGAACGTGTGAAACAAAACTCAACATCATAAAAGAGATCAAGCTGACTGGTCAGCAAGAGACCCATGAGATACCCCACACTGTGACTTTAGATGTCTTTTAGATCTAAACCTGAGCTCCCACCCCTGTGTTAGAACGATCAACCATTTAATATCAAAATGCCAGCATTTACCCAAGGACAAATTTCAGAGGGTCAGAAAAAGAAACGAGAGACGCCAGGAAAAAGGAGGCCACGTGATGGTTCCGTGAAGATGTTACAATGGATGAACTGTTGAGTACTAAGCTGTTGATTTGCTCTGTTCACCTTCACCTAGTTCATAATTTTAAAAAAGCCTAAAATAATACATCTAGAAACACTGTAATTAGTTTTACTGTGTATATTCTCTACAAAGACTAAATTAATAAATACTGTTTTTAAACATTATTTAAAATACAAGGAGGGGGGAGGGCATGGTGCTTGGTAAAGTCAACAAAAAGAGAAAGACCCTTAACAAGGTGGATTATCAGTGGCTGCAACAATGGGCTCTATTGGAACAGTTCTGAGCATGGCACGGGGCTAGGCAGTGTCCCTGCTGCTGTACATAATGTCGCCAGCCATCGAACAGGCACAACAGCTCCCAACAACACTATGTGTCTTTGAGTCCCTTGAACGCAAGCACTCAGCTGCTAACCAGGAGTGTGGAGGTTTGAATCCACCAAGAGAGACACCTCGGAAGAAAAGACCAGGCAATCTCCTTCTAAAAAGAATCAGCCATTGACATTTCTATGAAGCACAATTCGGCTCTGACTCCTCGTGACGCGGTGTGTGTCAGAGTCAATGTGACTACAGCTAGTTTTACTATAGGGTAGCACGCATTTGACTTTTATTTTTAAAAAAACCAAAACACCTCCCACACCAAATCAAATGAAGAGAATGCAGTCCAGCACTTGAGGAATTTATATTAAAATCCTTGGAATCAGGCAAGCATATGTTAAAGGATAACACATACGATAAAGTTAAAGGATAACATAAGTCTATTTATGATCTAAACCAGCACTGTACAGATTGTATTTTTTAAACCACTTATTGACACAGACTTCACATGTCATGCAACACAATAGTTTAAAACTATTAAAAAGACTTGGCGAGCAGCTCCGGCATCAGGCAGAGCTGCAGCTGCCAGGCAACCCAGCTTGGAAAAACCTCTCAGTGACCCCACAGTCCAAAGGAATCAGCCTGTGAGCGCCCTCTGCACAGAGATGCCCAAACGGAAGCTCGGGTTGGCCAAAGGGTCGGTGAAAGAGGTTGTCAGCAAAACCTGCTCCTGCATAAGTAAAGATGGACCCAAAAAGGATGACTCTTCAGACAAAAAAGTCCAAGCAAAGGGGGGAAGGGGAGCAAAGGGAAAACAGGCTGCAGTGGCTCACCAAGCCAGGAAAGGTTTACCTGCAGAAAATGGAGTCCAGCATCTGATGAAGGCTGAGAAAAAGAAGTCAAGTCTGATTAATGTTTACCTACCATGTCCTATCAGTGGAGCCTGTTGTCTCCCTTCTAGTATAATCCAGAGGAATATTTTTGTTTTGTTTTGTTTTTTTAATCATTTTATTAGGGACTCATACAACTCATCACAATCCATACATACATCAGTTTTGTAAAGCGCATTTGTACATGCATTGCCTTCATCATTCCCAAAATATTTGCTCTCCACCTAAGCCCCTGGCATCAGCTCCTCATTTTTTTTTCCTCCCTCTCCACTCCCCCCTCCCTCATGAACCCTTGATAATTTACAAATTATTATTTTGTCATATCTTGC